GTATGAACTCTGTCTCATTCCAGACTTCAGGGAAGTGCCTTGTGTTTTTTCCCCATTTCATGTGTTGTTGTCTATACAGCCCTTATTATTTTCAAATACAGTCTTTCTATTCATAACTTCTTTAGGGATTTGACCAAGAAAGGCTATTAAATTTTATCAGAGGCTTTTCTACATGTATTTTTTAGATGATCATGCAATCTTATTCTTTTTGTTTTTGTAGGTTGTAGGGCTTGATCTCAGAGTCTGAACACTGTCCCTGAGCCTCTTTGTGCTCAAGGCTAGCGGTCTACCACTTGAGACACAGAGCCACTTCCAGTTTTTGAGTGGGTAATTGGAGATAAGAGTCTTATGGGATAAGAGTCTTAGTTCTGGTCAGGCTGACTTTGAACTGCCATCCTCAGATCTCAGCCTCCTTAGTATCTAGGATTACAGGTGTGACTCACTTGTGCCTGGCTATTCTTTTATTATTATTATTATTATTGTGAAAATACTGTACAGAAGGGTTACAATTACATGGACAAGGAAATTAGTACATTTCTTATGAAGCATTGTTACCTCTTCCTTTGTTTCCCCTTCCCATCCCTTCCCATCTCCCCCCGCCCCCCCCTCCCCATGCCAAAGTTGTAATGTTTGTTTTTCCACATAATGTCTTGTACATATCATTGTTGCAATGGGTCCACCTGTTTCCCTATTTAAACATTTTGTTTTTTCCCTTCCCCTCCACAAATTATACCAACATCAAATACAGTGAAAACAGGGGTTATACCATGGGGGAGAGACTATACAAAGCAATGAAGAAATATCTTATAAATATGTTAGAAACAATAGCAAGAAAGAAAAACCATTTGAATCCTTATCTTGGGGCTCATTTCACCTAACATCAACTTATCTGACCATTTCTGCTTGTTGCAGGCATATACTAGTTATTGCAAATAAGGGAAACCATGGGACCTATGTTTCTTTGGGCCTGGCTTACTTCACTTAATATAATTTTTTCCAAGTCTTTCCATTTCCTAACAAATGGGGCAATGTCATTCTTTCTGATGGAGGCATAGAATTCCATTGTGTACATATACCACATTTTCTTGATCCATTCATCTACTGAGGGGCATCTGGATTGGTTCCATCTCTTAGCTATGGTAAATAATGCTGCAATAAACATAGTTGTGCTGGTAGCTTTAGTATGGTCTTGTTTGTGATCATTTGGGTAAATGCCCAGAAGTGGGATTGCTGGGCTATTCTTTATTTGCTTATTACATGCATTGTTTTGTGCAGGTTGAACTAGTCCCTTCAAGTAACAGCCCCTTCCCCACAAGCTCTTAAGTGAAGCCTCAATGACACTCAGGCCTCAGACTCTATTTCTATAGTGTTCTTAAGGCAATGGGGCTTGTTATTCCCCACATTACAAGAGATCATTGAACACTGCACCTCTCACTGTGCAAGTTCCCCATTGGGTAAAGTTCTCAGTAGAGACATGTTGGACCTTCTGTCTTTACTGCCACTCTTACGGTCATCTCCTACAAAAGACACTATGCAGGATTACTCCCACGATCCCTCAGCAACAATATTTCCTTGTTTCTGATTTCCATTCATTCTTCTGCATTTATTAATCAAGGTTTTTCTGCAGAAAAAGTGTGTCTTTCTTTCTTCTCCATTCATTCAGTTATTTAGCAGTACGACCATTTGTTTTGTTTCTGAAATTATTTCAGCTATTGAGTCCTATTTCTCATTAGCTTATATGTCCTGACATATCATTAGCTTACTTTTTTGAGTATTTTGCTGTTCACAAATACCACAATATGTTCAGAGTCACCTTGTACATTTTGTGATGCAAGCCAAAAAAAACAAAACAAAACAATTGCTTCTCTGAAAAATCCTTGTTTCTTTTTTCAAAATTGATCTTAGAAAACAACATTGTGGTAGTAGCTATTCTTTCTTATTGGAGTATCATTGTAATTTGCAAATATCTAACATCCCAAGCAAATATATTCTCTGTGTGCCATCTTTAACTAGAAAAACAAATTCTTAGGCAAAAATTTAAATAAAAGCCTTTAAGAATTTCTTCTTAAGCTGAAATGAGGATACAGGTTGACCCATTGTAACAATTAGATGTACAAGACATTATACTTAAAATGAACTTTACAACTTGGTGGGGAGGGAGGAATTCGGGAAGTGGGGAGGGTAGGAATGGTAGGGGAAAAACAAAGGAGGAGGTAACAAGGTTCAATTGGAAATGTACTCATTACCTTATTCATGTAACTGTAACCACTCTGTACAGTATTTTTACAATAAAAACATATAAAAAGAATTTCTTCTTTAAAAAACTCCTTTTTTTCTGATTCAGATGCTATGTAAGTTTTTTGATCTTTCAGACACCATCTTAGTCTATTTTGTATTGCTATAACCAAATATCTGAATCTAGATAATTAACTACGCACAGAGATTTATGTAGTTAATAGTTATGGCAGTAAGAAATTCCCAGACAGTGGTGTTAGCATCTAGTGCAGGCTTCTATACTGTGTCTACATGGTAGAAGAACATGAGAGTATGCATAAGATGAAAAAAAGAGCAAACCCTGCATATATGAGCTATCTTTCATCAGGAGCCACATCGGTGATAATGGCATTAATTCGTCTTGATCATCCTTAGATAGCCTACCCCTTAATACTACAAGAACGGCATGTAAATTTCAGCATGGTTTTGGAAAGGATATTTAAACCATAGCAGATACCATGAAGCATTCTGTCCAATTGTTGAAGATCTACCAAAAAAGTCTCTTACATTATATCCATGTCATATATAAACTTGAAGGAAAGTTACTAGAAAAAGCACTGAGTTAATTCTAGTCAATCTAGACTGTTACAAACACAAAAGTCCAAACATTTCTGTGAAGATTCCTAAAATAATTGCCAAAATAAGGAGATTGGTGATATCAATTTGTCAATTTATCTTGAAGAAGTACAATAGAGATCAATGTCAACAACAGGAGACCAAATAAGATTCAGTTCAAGATTGAGAACATTAAGCCAAAGTGGTACAATATAGTAGAGACTCAACACATGCTTATAGAAAACAATAAAAGAAAACTTCACGAGTGTCATTCTCTATCAGCATCTGTTGCCTTTGTAAGCATACTTTAATTAAATAGGACATTCAAAGAATGCTTTACAGCACAACATTCTAGCACTCAATTGTGATGATTCACAGATAATTCATTCAGCAAGTAACCACTCAGACACAGTTCTGGGGATGCATACTTTTAAGTGAAAGGAATCCATTAGATAATACTTCTGTTTTTCTTTCAAATTTCCCACCATTCATTTATTTTAGGAATGAACTCATATGTGTATAGATTGCTTTTGTAAGATGAAGAATTTTGAACTCCTTTGTAAAATTGCCAACCACATTCGCTAATTCAAAAATGACTTACACAATGTTATTTTCTTCAAACAAAAACTGAACCATTCATTCTCTAAGAGTGTATATAGGATTCATCAAAATAAATAAAATAGATTGATAGAATACATTGATTCTTTAAGAGAACTTATTCTAATAATTCAACAACACATGGCTCATTGCTCATATGATTATATGTGATTAGTTTTATGAAAACTATAATGAAATGGTTGATTCCATTATGCAGAGAATAAATCAAATCCATCTTTTAAATAATGTAGCTGTAGTAGAGCTTCTTAATAGAAAAAAAGTGATGAGGTTTTACACAGTAAATAATACTAGGGTTTTACTTAGTTTCATTGAGAACAGATTTCTGTGGTTGTCCAGTTGTTGAAGGACTATCATGTAAGACTCTTTCATTGCACACATGTCATTTATAAACTTGAAGGATGGAATCTGTATAATAGCAGAGGAGTAACTGGAAAAGGTATTAAATTAATTCATATCTTTAGATAAGTTTCACTTAGATATTTTCTACTGTGTAGGCTAAATGACTACTTACTTCTGACAATATTAAAATTTTAAATGTAAAATTAACATGTGACTGTTATAAAAAAAAAGCTGGGAAATTTACAATGAAAAAAATAATATAAAAGAACAAATTATCCCATCAGTCAAGAATCACTATTTTCATGTCTGTTTCTGTTTCTGTTATTTCTTGTGAGCACGCGGGAAAGCTTTTACTACTTGTAAAATTCAGAATAGTTTACACTGTCTTCCCTTAATTAAATTGTTTTTGAAAGTTGACTCTTTTGAGGGCATGATGGTCTCAAAGGCTACATGAAATATATAGTTTAAATTTTTCCCCCAAAGCCCTGGATCATCCATTAGTCATTCTTTCTTAGAACAAGCATGGGAAAAGGGTTAGGGAGCTCTGAGAAGGTACACACTGACCTGTCTGAGGAAGGCCAGCAGGAGTTTCTGACAGGGATGAGACTGTCACATTCCTGGTGTGTCTGACCTTATACTCACTTAACATGATAGTCTGGATTCTATTAAAGGAATTTTGTGTTTTTCCTTTGCAAGAGTCACCCCCTACCATGACAAATATTTTAAAATATTTTTTAAAGTTGGGAAAGCAAGCTTTTTTCCCCAAAGAAATTTATCGCTCAAATTTACACCGAGTTCTCACTAACTAGAGCAAGCTAGATTTTTTCTTTTCACTAAAGCTTCAACTTTCCTCTGTAAAACATTAGTCACTCCCTTGGATGAAGCAGGAGTTTTCTTTCTTTCTTTTTTATTGGCAGTGGGATAAAACAGCTACAGATGTGCATGTAATAGGACAGACTAGAATGTACCTGCAGAGCAGGATTTTTTTTTTTAATTTGGAGAAAAAAGATGAAAGAAAAAAGAAGGCTGAATGAGGATGCTAAAATAACAGTGACTCAGTATTAAGGAAATGATAAGTTTTGATCCATTCAAGCAGTGTTTCCTTTCCTCCGTTTCTTTTTTCCTGGGAAGTTTTTGAGGTTGTGCCAAGTTGTTTTCAATGAAGAACTTTTCAAGGTATTCACCATTCCCACGTGTTGCCTTTTAATGTACAGGACTGTCGTAATGCCTGTGGCCAAAGAGTTTGATCCAGATGTGGTCCTGGTTTCCGCTGGATTTGATGCATTGGAAGGCCACACCTCTCCACTGGGGGGGTACAAAGTGACTGCAAAATGTAAGTACTGCTCAGAAGTTCATGAAATGCCATGTGATGCCGTTACATCATTAGCTCTTAGAGACAGACAACACTGTCTCTATCAGTCTAAAAAATCTTTGGTGCAATGTTTGAAATGGCTCAGATGCCATTTATTGCTCTACTGAATTCATGTCTGAAGAAATTTGCCTGTAAGGAAAACAAGATAGTTTCCTTTGGTGGAATTGATGAGACATATCAGAACCTTTATACTTTTCAAGAGTCTCATTTTCCATTCAAGACAAAAGTGATAGAGCTTTTTGTTAAACTACAAAAACTGACCTGAGATGTCCTAAGTAAGGAAAAACTACCGGAATTTTTGCAAGGGGAAAAGTCGTTGATTTTTATTCATTGCACATGAATAGTTATTTTGCAATAATGTTATGCCTTTTCAGGTTTGAATACAAAATTGTGGTCCCTGTGCTCTATTTTATTGATAACAACCTTTGGTTTCTTTTTTTAAAATTTTATTATTATCCTTAAATAATTGTACAATGGTGTTACCATTTAACAAAGCAATTTATGAGCATAATATGTCTTGACCAATGTGCTCTTCTGTGGTGCAAAGATGAGCATTCTGTCTGCGTTCCTTAGCAACCATGAAAAGAATGAAGAAATGAATTTTGTTTTATTGCAGTTAGAAAACACAGCTCAGTGAAATATGACTAGAAATGAAACTTCCTATAAGAATAATTTCCTTGTTCTAAGTGTGAAAGCAAGGCATATGTATAGCTGATGTATATAAATACATGCTGGTACTATGGTTATCTATAAAAAAGCCAAAAATTATACAAAGATTAGTATCCACACTTGTATATTTAAGGGGAATGGAAAAGCAAACTAAACAAAAACAACCCAAAAATTTTATGTGGGAGGGATGAGTTTGGAACAAGTATGCTGTATTAATTTGAAAAGAAACAGCCTCATGCCAACCTTTGTTTTTAGTTGGCTTCTCATGTGATAGAGTTTTCTGCAGTCTCATTATTCCAGTAACATTGTTAGGTAGTCACTATTTTTAACATCTATTATTTGCCCAGTGTTCTGGTGCCTTGTTGTCTATTGAAAACATATTAAAGCAGTCAACTCTACAAAGGCAAAAAAAGACATAATAATGCATAATTTTGGTAAAATTGAATAAAGAGGTGTTTGCTCGTATCAAATATCTTTATGATCTTTTTGTTGCTATTGCTCATGGAACTCAAATAGAAGTCAGTCTTTCCATTAGATAAACCTCATTTGGATCAAGACTAGTGAATAATTTAGTTGAAATAAAGAAAAATAAAGTTGAAATCCAAATTAAGAAAAACCCAAACAATGCAAAACACATGCAGAGCAAAGACGCAAATCTACAAAGAAAAAAAAAAGTGTTTCTTGCCATTAAATCCAAGAATCTCTCTCAGGAGGGAGGAATGTCAATCACTGTGTCTTTTTTTCCTTACCAATGGAACATGTTTTAACATGTCTATCTCTCAGAACTAGCTGAAAGAAACCAATCTTTAATTTATGTGTTCAGTTTTGTTCAAATCAAGTTCAAATCTCAAATATCATGTTGAAAGGTAGAACAGAAAGTAGTAATAGCAGGGTTATTTAGTTATAGATGGCAGAGCCACTGGTTTTTGTGTTAGTACTATGAGCTTTCCATCATTGTAATAAAATGTCTGAGATACTCAACTTATAAAGATAGAAAGGTCAGTTGGACAAGTGCTTTAGGGTATGTAGCAGGTCAGAACTGTTCACCTTATAATCAGGGAGCCCTTTCAATAGTATACCTCCCATGACTTAAAGACCTCCATGGGACTTGCCTCTTAAAGCTTCCACCACCTTCTAATACTTCCACGCTAAGAACTAAGCTTTTAACACATGAACCTTTGGGGGATATTTAAGATCCAAGCTACAGCAAGTACAATGCAATAAGACCTTCAACATGTCTTTTATCTATTTGCAGTGAGTTTTATAGGTCCATTTTATTCCATGTAAATCTGAATATACAATCTTTCCTCCTAATTATAATCACTAGATATCTATTTCTTCCCTCAGATTTGCTACTTAAAATAGCATATGATTTATTTTATTTTATATTAATAAGATTTTTTTAATTGTGCAAATGCCATACAGAGGGGTTACAATTACATGAGCAAGATAATGAGTACATTTCTTATCAAGCATTGTTGCCTCCTCCCTTGTTTCCCCTTCCCATCCCTTCCTATCCCTTCTCATTTCCCTTGCCCTGCCCCCCCATACCAAAATTGTAAAGCTCGTTTTTCGACATAACATCTTGTACATCTCATTGTTACAATGGGTCCACCTGTATCCCTATTTAAACAATTTGTTTTTTCCCTTCCCCTCCACAAATTACACCAACATCAAATACAGTGAAAGCAGGGGTTATACTATGGGGGACGGACATACAAAGCAACAAAGAAATCATCTTATAAATATCTTAGAAACAATAACAAGTAAGAAAAACCATTTGAGCAAAATACACATATATCCTGCTTAGTTTTTGAGGGGAATATTCCTTTTTGGAAAGCAATTTGTTTTGAAATTCATTTGAGATATATTGCCAAAACAAAACATATAGTAAAAGACTGCTATCCTTAGCTGGAAGCATTCAATAATATTGAAATAAATTAATGCTTCTTAAATAGTAAGAACCCTGAGTATTTAAAGACAAGAATTTATTAATTTTAATGTGTTAAAGGACATTTTTTTTAAATAAGACTTGGAAAAAATTATATTAAGTGGAGTAAGCCAGGTTCAAAGAAACATAGGTCCCATGGTTTCCCTTATTTGCAATAACTAGTATATGTCTGAGACTAGCAGAAATGGTCAGACAAGTTGATGTTAGGTGAAATGAACCCCATATGATTTTTTTTATTGGCTGTCTACTTCTTAGAAAAAGCAAATGGATCTGGGTTTTAAGTGATACAAGAATGAATTGTTTGTTGAATATTTGCTATTTAATAAAAAAAGATAAACAGTGAGGAGAAACAGTCTTAGAATCCAAAGATTGTGTAGTAGAGGCTGTCTAAAACCTGGTCTCATATCTATATATCTATATAGATATATAGATATATATCCCTTGGCTTTGGGCTAGAACTCAGAGCTTGGATGTTGTCCCTGAGCTCTTTTGCTCAAGGTAATGCTCTATACTTTGAGCCGCAACTCCACTTCCAGTTTTCTGGTGGTTGATTGACGATAAGAGTCTCACGGACCTTCCTTCCGCAGGTTGGCTTTGAACTGTGAACCTCAAATCTCAACCTCCTGAGTAGCTAGGATTATAGGTATTATTCACCAGTGCCCCACCTTATTCGCTTATTTTGTAAATAAGGAAACTAATTAGCTTTCTCGTATGAAATTATGAGGGTTAAAAGTGACAGGTTCATCATGAATATGTGGTTAGATGAAATGGTATGAGGCACTTGCAGGATTTTCCATGGAGGACTAAATCATTTCTAGTGAAGAACAGAGAATTTGGGTGTATATTCTAGGAAGGCCATATTGGTGCCTTTGTTTTTACCTTCCCAGTTTGTGATAGTATTCATAACAGAACCTCACATCTGGACAACTTACAGATCACTACATGGAAGCCTTAGTGTACCAGCTCTGTTTTGTGGAGAGGCTACTACACTAACTGGGTAGAGTCTGAGACTACTGGGTATCTCCATGCTTTTACCTCCAAATGTTTGCTTTCTAAACACTTAACAGATGCAGATCCCTTATCTTGGTCTAGAATTTCTGGACAGACAATTTAAATCGAGCTCCCACTGACCCATGCCAGAAGTCATCGTATCATCATTGGTGGGCAGCCCAAAACAAAGTTAGACGGGCTAAAAAAATAAAATGTTCGTCAGGAAAAGGATGACAGTGACCGAGGTTCATTGTATTCATGTGTTACTTGGTTGAAATTAAAGAGAAAAATAAAATAAAAGGATGATCATAAAAAAGTCTCAAGCTAAAAGTAGGTAGAAGATACAAAAGCAAATTTCTCTTCTAAACTTTTTCAGTTTGGGCTAAACTCATTCCTGCTCCAAGTGAAACATTTGATGATTTTAGTGAGCCATGTCTGACATGTTAAAGTTATGTTTTCTTGGCATATTGGACTAATCTTTTAAAATATTTTTGAATATTTTGAAAGAGAAATGGATTCAAACTAACAAAGGCTTTTGTTTATTTCAAACATCAAATTAGCTATCTGACTAAACCCAAAGAACAAAAGTTGGTTGTTATGCCCGAAGTCTCAGCCCAAGTTTGGAATTGTACAAAATTAAAGGCTATCATGACCAGTGAGATTTTTCTGTGTTTTTTCCTCTTCTCTCACTTTAAAAAATATATTATAGTTTTTTTGTTATGAAATTACAATGAAAAGTGGAATTAGTTTGAAGTTTAATGCTTTGGTTAAAATGAAGTATATTTAGTTCTTATTTATAATCTATGTTCTTTTTGTAGTTAAGGGTCAAGGTTATGATCTAACAAGAAAGCGTAAGTACCTTTGCTTAGCCCTAAACTTAGTATCAAACTTTCCCTCCAATTGATCAGTTTATCTTTCTGAATCTTCTACTTTGGATCTAATTTGTCATCGAGTTATAGTTTAAGAAGGTTACCATGACTACTGAGTGCTATTTTCAAACAATAAAAATGATTCCTTATATCATAGAACCATACTTTAAAGGGTTGTCGACTTTAATGAAAAAAATCTTTAAATTCATTTTAAAGCAAAATATATTTTTTTCTTCCCTTGCAATACATGCATCCTTTTCTACTTTTGTTGGGGTCAGGATTCCTACATGCAGATGGTCTTTACCATGCAAAAAGAGTTTTTCTTTACTTAGAATAATAATGTCATTGTGGTTGATGGCACATCTCTTAAGTAATAAAACCATAAATAAATAATAAAATTATGGAGCCAATAAATAAATACAGTGAAATTAGTAAACAATCTCAATGCTCTAATTTGGGCTTAGATTTAGAGACTGTTTTCT